GATACAATACAACCACTTATAAATCTAGTAACTTTATTCCTTTAATTTGATTCATTTACACAGCATATCAAAACAACAAGTCAGCAAAAATATGTGTCATATTCTTGTTTGCAAATCTTTTTGAAATTGCTGCTTTAAAATCTATATAGACATAACATAGCATTTTTGAATAAACAATCGTCTCTAAGAGCTCAAAACGGATAACGAACTTGCAGTATTTATCTGATAGTGGTCGTATCACCATGAATCGAATAGTGATATTTGGAGCTACAGGAAACACCGGATTATGTGCTTTAAATAGTGCTGTAAATAAGGGTAAAGTGTCATTTGTTTTACCATTTAACATTATAATTTATTTTTTATATACGTATAAGATAATAAACTAAAATAATATTTGTATTAAAGATAGAATAGAGATGGAATATTTCATAGATAATTGATATCGATAAAGAGATTAATCGTCCTGATATATTTGCAAACGATGATTTATTTTTTAAGGAATGTAAAATACCTGACGAGGTTTTTCGAAAATTGCTCGCAAAAATTATAAACATGTAATATTTCAAAAAAAGCGAATTCCGCACAAAAATTAATTCTATTTTTTTGCTCTTTTCGATAACAAAATTTAGGATTTAATGTAAGAGCATTCGTCAGAGATGAAGGCAAAGTACCGGCAAACTTGAAAGACAAAATCGAAATAGTTGTCGCAGATGTTACTAATCCAGAACAAGTTTCAAGTGCAATATCCAACAGGGATGCAGTGGTTGTTGTGCTTGGTACACGGAATGACTTGAGTAAATATCCAATTTCACACAAGGTATTGTTTTTTCCATCCATGCTACGATGTACATATAACATTCATTGTAAATTTTTATTTAGGTCCAACTACAGTGTTATCCAATGGCTTGAAAAATATAATAGATGCTATGAAAGCGCACAACGTAGAAATAATATCTGTCTGTTTGTCCGGTAAATTTCGTTTGATCTTTTTATTTACTTTTACATGTGTATTGAAACTTTTCGTGTATTTTTAACTAACAACCTTTTATTTCTTGCAGCATTTTTGTTCTACAAGCCTGAAGCAGTGCCTAGTATATTTAAAGATTTAAATGCAGACCATCAACGTATGTTTGACCTTCTTAAAGAAAGTAAATTAAAATGGATTGCAATATTACCACCTCATATTGCAGGTATTTATTATGCAAAGTGTTTATAATTTTCCAATCAAAATTCTCAACATTTATTTTACGATTAGAGACAAACTCTTAATTATATTTTCATTATTTGCAGACGTACAAAACTCAAAATATGTAATCAAACATGATGAATCTCCCGGTCGGGCTATTTCCAAACATGATTTAGGGGCTTTTCTCATTGAAAGTCTTCAACAGCCAGAGCATTATCAGAAAGTTTGTGGTATTGCCAATGTTGCTTAATATAACAAGAAATACATCTTGTAATGCGTGCAAAATTAAAAAAATATTTTGAAGGCTTTTGATTTTTAAACGTATAAAAAAATAAATAGGAAATTTGCAGAAACAACAACTTGTACAAAATGTATTGTATTGATACTAGGAAACTGTAAACTATTAGAAAATAGTTCTGATTCTAAACATCTGTTGGAATGGTTGTAATTATGTTTTGTAAAGAAGAACATGTGTGCATGAGAAGTAGCTTTTGTATTTAAAAACTATTAAAAAAATAACTTTTTAGATAAATAAATAAATAATACGCGTATATATGGAATATAAAAGAATCTTGAAAAAGAAATAAAAATAAAATTATCTGTCACTGTGATGACAATCTTTTTACCATATGTGTTCTGTGTGTTAAGACACCTAAATCATAGAACTTTGGCATTTGATAGTTTGGCAATGGAGGTGGTGGCGGGCCACAAGATTGTGTACTTTTCTCTTTAAGCTTTGCTTTAGTAAATGCTGCACTAGAATACACAACATCATTGATGCCTGATGCTTTAAATGGATCACAGGTTTTATATCCATTTTTTAAGTAAAAAAGTTCTTGGCCTTTAGTTATTAAATATACATTTTTAATTCCTCTCTTTGCTACATGTTCTTCGGCTCCACGTAATAATCTAGATCCTAGACCTTGTGATCTACGCTGATAGTCAATTATCACTGAAATAGAAACAAAAAACTAAATTTTGCTCTTTTTTGTGCACTTTTACTCTTTTCGTTAAAATGGTAATACTTACATGACTGTATAAAACAACTATGACGTAATCTAGGTATCAAAGATACTTTACAATGACCAAGGACCCTCTCTTCTTTGTCTATTAGTATAAGGCATATAGGAAACTCATCACACGATACAGATAGAAATTTTAACCTATTTTATATAGGAAGGGGGTTATTAAATTATTAGATAGAATTTTGTTTAAATTAATTATTAATTATATTATGTGATATACCGTGCAGTTTCACTTCTTGGCCATTCAGAATTCAGTAAAGTGCAACAGTCTGGAATCAAATCCGGTCGTTTATGAAGCGGTATTATTCTATATTCCTTTTCAATAGTGGTCATAATTTTTCTGCAATTATGAATTATAATAAAATTTTTGTGGAATTCAACATTTTTCAACTTTAAGATATTTCAAAGAGGGAACGATACATATTTCGAACTGTTTATGATAACAATCAATAATGAAACTAAAAAATTGAAAAAAAATTATACTAATAAGATGACGTTATTGAAAAGTATACAAATATACATGTTTAAATTTTGTGATATTATTACGTAAAATATCTATTTTTATAAGCTACGGTCATGGAGTAATAATTTTTACACTTTCGGGGAAAGGAACTAAAAATATCAATAATGAGAAATTATTGTTATATTTCTATGTAAATTATAATAAGTGGACATTGAAAAAGAATTAAATAATAAACATTAATCGTATTAATTTTATGTGAGAAAAATTCTTGTTCTACTAAAGCAAACAGATAATCGGAACTTATCTAAATGATTCGTTTAGCGTGCAACAACCTGTGATTGACAGGTATCGAAAAATAGAAAGTAACATGTGTGAACACAAGTGTAATAAATAGCTTGGTGCAGATGTCCTTACCGTATTTTTCTGACTGAACGATGAGAACTTGACACGTAAGTTTAAAGGTCACTGTGCTTCACCTGCTATACGTATCCCGTGTGGAAATAGCTTTGAGATTAATATCTTGAGCCAGGAATGATACTTCTGTCGTACATATCCCCACTGTTATATAAAATTTTCGCAGCACCCAGCGGCATTATAAAATACATCACCTCGTTTCGAATCATTTTGTCTATCGACACGCTTCTCCGTCTCACGATCGTACTTTTATTTGTTAATTTTGGAAAAGAATTTTACATCGCATTACAGCGAAAAATATCTGTACCATTCTTTAATTTTCTCTGCATATTTTATTTTTCGTAAAAAAATTTACGATCTATTTTTTTAGCGTGATATATCGTTTGATTGCGGTATCAAACAAGAAAAATTTAATTTCCTTGCGTTTTTATTTTATTTACACTCTATTTATTTGTTTCTGCCTTGTTTGCTTTTGTTTCTTTGTTCAAAGCGTCCCACTGGGTCACGTCCGTGACCCGTTCTCTTTCGGATCTGAGCGTCTTTTTTCGTATTTGACACACTTTTATTTAAAAGTCTCTGTTCCACACGTGAACAATGTCCTGCATTCTTTCGACAATGGCGATGCTCGATAATCATTTCTGAATGATACGATTTCAAAGAACTCAGGGAAAAAATGATACGCGACTCTTTTTTATTTATCATTCATAAAAGAGAATAAGATCAATTATTTCTCATTTTGTTGTTTCCCTATTACATATCATTTTTATGTTATTTTGATCTTAAGGCTAGAAAGATATTTGAGATTCAATATAATCATAATCAATCCTTGTTTTCTGGTAACGTTGTTTGAAGTGATCACAATAATTATTCATATTACTCTTGCGTTTATAATTTTATACTTTATTAAATATTTTTAATACTTAAGTTAAACAACTAATGACGTTTGTACAAATTGGTTAGAAACATTCTCATTAATGAAGTACGGACAAGCAAACAGTATTAAAATATTTTGAGTATTTAATGAACGTATAACCTATAATAAAAAGATGTTATCTGGAAGACCTCCTGTAACAGGTAAGAGTATAGAAAAATAAATTAAAGTTATCAATACAATTAATATAATAAATTTGCTTATGTTCTTCATAATCTTCTGTTTTTTTTTTTTTATTTAATGCAATCAACAGAAAATCCTTTGGGGCTTTCTTGGCATGATAGCGCATGGATTCCAGTATTAAATCCAAACAACATAATGGATTATTTTTCTGAAAGAAGTAATCCTTTCTACGACAGAACATGTAACAATGAAATTGTTAAAATGCAGCGTTTAAGTCCCGATCAATTACAGTAAGTGATAGTGGAATAAAATTTGTCTGAGAATGATAAAATGATAATGGCAGTAATTGAGTATTTAATTTCAGAAATATGACTGGTCTCGAATACATTCTTTTACATGTACAAGCACCTATTTTGTATGTAATCAGAAAGCAACATCGTCATTCTCCTACTTTAGCAGCACCGCTTGCGGATTATTATATTATTGCCGGTGTTGTATATCAAGCTCCTGATCTAGCGTCAGTTGTGAGCTCTAGATTGGTACTTAAAATTTTTTAAAAATTTGGTCTCAGAACGTGGCGGTTGATTTACAGAATTATGTTTTATAGTTATCTACAGTACACCACTTGCAGTCTGCCTTTGAAGAAGCTAGCTCATGCTCAAGGTATCATCCTAGTAAGGGCTATTATTGGGATTTCAAAAATGGGAAAGCATTGGCAGCAAAGAAGGAGACACCTGTTCGTGAAGAACCAAGTTCCTTGTTCCAGCGGCAAAGAGTAGATATGTTGCTCGCTGAACTTACACGGAAATTTCCATTACCTGTCCCAAAGCCAGTGCACCAAGCCATAGAACCTTGTAAGTGCTTACATTGATAGTTTCTTTTGACATGTTTCAAGCATGAAAGTGAAATTTGTTTGTTAATGTTGTAGCAATGGAAATTAAACAAGAGATAAAAACGGAAAAGAAAGACATGAAACCACCGCCAGAGAAGAAACCAAAAGTTAATTAATAAAAGTTTAGAACGGTTGATGATAACATAAGATTAATAATATTTTGTGTATATATTGTATTTTATCTTAATTTTTGTTTTACGAAATACGTGTTTGGCATTATTAAATATATTTTGATAAACCACTGAATTTGTACGAAAATAAGAAAAAGTCTAATACTTTGTCGTTTAGGTAGTATTTTATTTTCTACTGCGCCATGGACAGTCTGGATTATCTATTTCCTCTTTTATATTTATTTTCATCCGTGAGGATTCTTTCCTCTTAAGCTTTCTTTTTTCAGTATATTTACCACAAAAGTTAGAATCTGGATATTTAGTTGTTTCTTCGTCTGATGGAGGCTGACGGGGAAATCCTTGATGCTTACGTGCTTGCATTAATATCTTAAAGTGGCATTTGATCTAATCTATAAAGTTACATCGTGTTTTTGTAAACTTGAAAGAAATTGGAAAGTGTTTTGTTACGAACTTTTATGTTAATTTGTACAATCGATTTAATGTGATGCATTACGTTAAATTTTCAATGAAGGAAATGGTTATAAAAATATTTTAAAACCTCAAAGTTGTATCAACAAAATATGCCAGTGTTTCAACTCTTTTTTTTTTTTAGAATTTCATTTGTAATTTTCTATTGCGGAGAAGAATGACACGTAAAGTGAACGATGATATGCGATGGAAATACGTGTCCTGAGAGATACGCAGGTGAAAAATTTCACGAGCAGAAAATTCGTGATATTGACGAAGATGATTTCATAAAAAATTTGAAACACGAGAAGTGCAAGATAATTCAGTTAGTTCGTCGACAAATACATAAATTTTACGATACTCAAGTAACATTAAATATCAATGAAAACATTTAGCTTAGAATATGTCCTCGCGCATCGGACATTGCATTGGTACGATTTTTTTTCCCCCAGTACAAAGTATCCCTGATGTCAAATGAGTGGCAAACAAAATATATGCAAGAATCGCCAGATATGTTGTATAGAATAAAACATGAAGAGAATATAACAGAAGAGGTAAATGGAGAAGCAGTTGATATACCGAACAATTTACTCATAAGAAGTACAATGTCGACTGGCCAAGCATGGTGTCTACGTGCTTTGAGAAAAATTCGAAAAAGAATTTGCGTGATGGTTGTAATTGCCGGTGTCGTCGTAATGATGGTGTCGATTTACGGCATTTATTTTCGCGCGTATCTCTGCAGTAACGGAAAATCTTGCGTCACATCTCTTCGGTACACTCACGTCAAACATGCATTATTTTGAATATGCACGGAAACAGAACACGGAAGATGAAATGGATTCGATCAGTTGGAAAAGATAATGGTGGGTGTTGCATCATGGGTGAAATTTTCAACGGAATAAGGAAACCATCTAAGACTTGACACAAAATATATTAAACTTGGAATAATACACCACGTGTAGCGTTTAGTTATGCAACTAGTCTTGACGATTTCTAGTTTTTCCTTCAGTTCCGTAGGTTTTTTTTCAATGACGAGACATTCGACCTGTAAGCATTGTGATGCGTCGTAACGATCGTACTATGCCGTTTCTTCTTCGTGCAGTGTACACCAGCTCGACGAGGAGACTAGTTGCAGTTCGTTTGATGTTCATCCCCCGGTACCCAACGTAACAATTATACAGTACTATTGTTCTTTTAGGCTTTGAAATGTCGGTCCTCTTGATATGTTTCGCACATTCGTTCTTTCTCAGATATACTCTTTACACACAACTTTCTGGCCCGGGTATAGAGTTGGCGATGATGATCTCCTTCATTAAATTACGATCGGCTTTAAAACTAATAGGTTCCCATGACTTTGTGGAGAATGGATTTAACTACAACAAAAATTGAAAAAGAAAGAAAGAAAGAAAGAAGAAAGAGAGAACATTAGCAATTATTAACGTTATCTCAATTATAGTAACTAACACCATTAGTACACGGGTACTACTCACACTGCATTTGTTACTTTGAAGTCCTTGCTTATGAATATCGTATGGTGCAAACAGCGTGTCTGGTCGTACAGGTAAAAATAATTGTGGTTCGCGTTTTATCTTTTCTTGATCTGAAATCAAACCCCATTACATTATCCGTTATATATTCGTAAGTCACACGTATTACACTTGTAAAAATAAAAACAAATTTTTACCTTGTGGCGACTGTATGATATCCGGCTGATTGTTGAGCGCGTAATCGGTCACCTGTTTCAACGTGTACTCGACGAAATACGTATGATCCCCGTGCGTAACGTCGAGCATCGAATTGTTCCTCGAGTCCGGAGGAGTGATTATCGGTTGTTTCATGTAAGGCTCAATATGAACCGGAGAGGTGGTGCCTCTTCGTCGGTACATCATCAGCATCACCGAGAGCACGGTGATGCCAAAGGCCATTAGGCAACCGATAAGAAGCAGAATGAGTGGAACTATGCTTACACCGGTGTCTAAAACAACGAGGCAACGCGATACTCGTTTTCATTTTTCTTGAATCGCAACTGAGAAACGCAACTCTCAAAATCTCTTACCTGTGTGCTTTTCAGAGTCTCTCAGCATTATATCTTCCAACAGACTCACTTCGCTTCTTCCTTTTGCGTTCACCGCGTACGTAACGAGATAAAAATGCGTCGCGGGAAGAAGGTCCGCCACGGCGATCCTAAATATTGGCACGTCCGCGGACACGCTCGACGCATTTACCCTCAAATTACCGGTGAGAACCTCGTACGCCTCCAATCGAAACTCTTGCCTCAATCCACCGTCGTATCCTGGCACGCACTCCACTTCCAGGATCTCGGAACTTTGATTCAAGGACGCCTTTATCGTACAATTGTTCAGAGGATTTGGCTTCACTAGGAAACGTGAAAAACAAATTGTTTCCTTGTGTGTGTTCGCACGACATAAAGACATAGAAATTCATTTACAGAAATTACCCGCTGGGATGATTTGATAGATGCAAGGCGCTTCTTGCTTGCCTATGATGTTCCTACCCCAACACGTCAGAGCCCCGTAATCTCTTTCGGAGACTGGCGTGTAAACGAGTTCGCTCATCGTTCCGTTGTTACCGTCAAATTTCGCCGGCGCGACCTCAAAGTTCTCGCCGCTGTTGTTGAACTCCCACACGAATTCAACTTCGTTGGGATCGGCGTCCACCTCGCATCGAACCTTCACCGACTCTTCCAACGATGCTCCGATGATGGACACTTCTTTCGCCTTGCACACTGGCGCGACTGAAAAAATTGCGAATAGAGAAAGAAAGTAGTTAAAAAAAGGAGAACCAATTATAGCCAAATAATCATTTGTCAAACAAAGTTTTTTTTAACAATACTTGTAGTTTCAAACTTACACTGTACTCGTAATGTTACTACCGGACTCGTGGTTTCACCTCGATCGTTGCTCGCGAGACACGTGTAATTCCCAGCGTTGTCTCGACCAATCTTTTGCAGCACGAGGCTTTGAGTACTCATGATTATCCCGGCCGAATAATTCTGCATTAACACCACGTCCTACGAATTATTTAATGATGCATTACTAACTGTTACATTTATAGTAATTATATAATTATAAATATAAAAGTATATTATATTTACATTATATTTTTATGTTACTATTTATCAGGTTGATACTAAAACACTCACGTTGTGCCTCCACGTGATCTTGTGATGCTCTGGATTAGCCCGAACCTTACACTCGAAATACACGTCGTCACCCTCCTTTATTTTTTCCGCGTTTAGGGTGTTACCCAAGTGTAATTGTACTTTAGGTGGAACTGCGAGAGAGAAATATCGGACAGCATTTATTATATCCGAACTCGGAATTATTAGGAATCTTAGAGTATACTCACAAACTACGTTTAATTGAAAGAAGTCTTCTAGATACGCGTCTGACAGTTCTGGATTCTCTCCCCGACACTTGAGGATCTTCGCATGATCGTCGGGGATCGGTGAAAATCTGAGAGTGCTCAACACCACTGAAGCATTACCACCGTCGATCACCTGAATAATTGAGAAAACTCTTACGGAATGAAACTATCGTGACATTTCTTATTTTGTAGTGAATCATTGAAAATATGTACCTGGCCATTGTGGTAAACAGCGTTCCCTTTTAGCCAAGTGATTCGCGCTCGAGGATGTGATCCTGTCGTCTCGCACGTGATGGAGTAGTCTTTTTCTGTCTCTAGAATTGCCGGTTTCGACAGAATCTTCACCGACAATGGTTTCACTAAAACAACGAAATCCCAGTATAACCGTGTAAAACGAACAATCCTCTCGCGTGAAGATACAAATTCTGTGTACACCTACGATAAATATCTAGGAGAATAGTCTTTTCTAACGGAGGTATGAGGTTTGTGCTCCAGGCCTGACATTTGTACGTCGTGTTACGATGTTCCCTTCTCAACTGAGGTACTGTCAATTTACTGACCACTAGGTTCTTCCCAATTTCTTCCAACTTGCTGTCCACCTTCTTCTCGTTGACCAGCCAAGTAACCAGCGGTGTCGGTTTACCTAAAGAAGTTACGCCGGATATATATACGTCACTTATTGATGTATTTTGAAGTAATCACATGTTAAAAATATACAATACACTTTAGCTATTTTCTATTCGACAATGGAACATCTGTACGATAAGAAATTATTGTAATAAAAACATCTTTCTTAATCTGTTGATCTCTTAAAAATTTAAGGTTAGATTTGAAGAATTAGGTTAGGCTAGGTTTGAAAGATTAAAACGTTTGTTAAAACAAAAAAACACTCTAGGTCCTTGTCAAAATGTCACAAGAAAATTCAAAAAAAAGATTCTATTTCAAAACGGGATTGACGGATTCGGAAAATGATTCGACCGAATGTGTACACTTTTGGCGTGGGATCGGATTCAGCGGCGGCGAAACGGATTATCGTAGCGAAAGTGTTAATCCTCGCCGGATTCAACATTGGATAAAAATCACGCGAACGATCGAAATATGTGAGAGAATTACCTCCTCTTACTTCGCAAGAGAGGCCAAACTCGACGCCAACTTGAAACGGTCCTGCAGTGTTGCCCACTACCACGCCGGAGCTGTCGTAAATTAAAAGCTGATAAGGTGGAACTGAAAGTAAAACAAGTTGAAACAATTGATTCCTCAGGTTCTTTGAAGGTTTATTTCGACTTTCGCTTCACTCTAGTACTACCTATTACTGTGAGGTTCACTTGAAAGTTCTTCGTGGGCGAGTTCTTGAAGTCTACTCTACACCGGTAGATCCCTTCGTCGTCCAGTTGAACCGCTTCCAGCGAAAGAGTGGCCGGTTTCGTCATGGTGACGAAGTAAGCTCTCGGCCCGACCACCGTGCTGTCCGACCAGTTCAGAGCTTTGCTGAATGCTCTTCCTCGCACGTCGAAGCTGAAACGCTCGATCGTTTGAACGTCTGATCGTCTTCTCGATCCGATCCAAGTTCAAAAATTAACTGGAGGATGAATAATAACCTGTAAATTGGTTTCACAGCGTCATCGCGAAACCACAGCACCATGTATACGCGGTCTTCGCGCGTGGACGGTTCAATGTCACAAGGCAGTCTAGCGGTGCGTCCAAGTACAGCGCTAACTTCGAATGTTGCGACTGAAAACAATGCAAAGAGCGATGAGTGTAGAGTTGTTGCTTCTGCACGTGGGTGCAAGAACGTGCAGAATGAATCTTTCGGATTCAATTGATCAGTTCAGGTTACAAAAACTGCGACCAAGTACAAGTAAATAAATATGTCGTCAGACAATTGGCAATTGATCAGTTGTCCTTTGTGAAAAATTAGATAGAACGAAACTGCAAGTAGTACTAGTAAATAAATATGTCAGATAGTAAATCTTTCAATTAGCAATTTAATCAGTTGTCTTTCGTGAGAAATTAGATGACAAAACTTCAAGTAGTACAAGTAAATAAGTATGCCGGAAAATGTGTCTAACCAGTGGACAGAGGATCTACTTGAATGCCTCGAATACCTAGCATCTCTCCTCTACAGTGTACCAACCTATTTCGCGTAGCGGTGGATCGACTTAAGTAGATGCAACGTATACTTGGTCAGACCAATCATACATACACAACGGGAGAGAATTCTTCCGTCACTGTTTGAAGAAATAAACACCGTATAAATGAAATTGCACGTTCCGTTTTGAAAACTAAATAAATCTCTATTATACTCGACGATACATACTCCCCTCCCGATGTAAACGTATAGGTTAACGACATACCTAAATCATCGTCCTTATCCCAGTTCCCGGTGGCGTTCACGTACACGACCACGGCGAGTATGTAGCCGCTGATGATGAGCTTGATCGCGATATCAGCGAGCGCCCCTATCGCCATCCCAATAGGGAACGGTTTAAGGGGTGAGTTTGGTACATTCAGATCCGGTTTTTGCATAATGTCGCCCCGTGCCGACCTGTCGTCCCGTGGTTCTCCTTTATTATCATTCCACGTCGAGAGGTAGACGGCCTCCTCCC